AAAAAAAAAAACCATCAGTCAGGTGCAGTGGCATGCACCTCTAATTCCAGCTTCTTGAGAGGCTGAGGCAGAAGGACTGCCTGAGCCCAGGAGGTCAAGGCTGTGCTGAGCCATGATCCTGCCACTGCACTTCAGCCAGGGTGACAGAGTGAGGCCTCCACACACTGCACCCCTAAAAAAGACCCCATTTCTTCCATGTAGTCCCCTTACTATGGCTTGTTCAGTATGGCTGGAGTTTAAGAGCTTGGGGTCTTGTATGGGGCAAAACCACTCAGCAGTGCACAGCCTGACACAGGGTTATAGAGCCAGTTGCCTGGGCTCCAATGCTGGCTTTGTCACTTTCTAGTTGTGCTGGACACACACTAAATTCCTTTGACCTTCAGGTTCTTTATGTGTAAAATGGGGATAATAAGTGGATCTGCCTTACAGGGTTTCTATGTGGATTAAATGGGTTAATCCATATAAAGGGCTTAGAACAGTATCTGGCACATGATTCATGCCCAGTAAGTAACAGATACTATTGTTGGCAAAACTTTCCATGCTTCAGAGGCAGCAGTTTGTGACAAAACAAAAGAAGACAACAATCACACTATTAACTCCAAGAAATATTTTTCCATTCCAATTTTATGTGAAAGGGTGTACAGTAGAAGTTTAGGCATAATTATAATCTTTTATTGTACAAAGATCCCTATAGAAATGTTGGACACAGCCCTTCCCATCTGAGCAGATCAAGTCACTTGTTCAAGCAACACTAAGTACAATGCATGTGGATGACGCTGTATATTTGAGGACACCATAGTGTTCGTGTTCTTGTACTCTGTTGAAACCTTCATGTATGCAGCATTTAAAAAAGTCAATTTCCCCTTTTCATTTAAAACTTCCCCCCGTGAATTAGAAATAAAAAAGTGAAATGTTTTGAGAGAACAGACTTTCTAGAAAACCTACTTTGGTTTTCCTTCAATGTGGGATTCACAATCATTCTTTTCTCCACACATACATTCATTCTCTAACTAGGACTCCCGTTTTCACCCCTCCCCCAGTCCCCCATATGCATTAGCAGTGGAGCAGATTACTGATGATGCATTAGAGAACCCCCAAATTGAAGAATGCTGTTTTAGGACTCTCTAATAAACAGAATCCTGATAGGAAAGCCCTAGAACGGCTGTCTTTATGTCATTTTAAATCTTTTCGTGGCCACATTTTAAAAAGAAAAAGGTAATATTAGTTTTAAACAAGTATTTTTCTTTTTTTTTTGAGTCAGGGTCTCACTCTGTTGCCGAGGCTAGAGTGCTGTGGCACCACCATGGCTCACCACAGCCTCCAATGCCTGTGCGCAAGTGATCCTCCTGCCTTAGTCTCCTAGGTAGCTGGGACTACAAACGTGTGTCACCACAGCGGGCCATACACAAGTACATTTTATTTAAACTCATAATATCTAAAAGATTATCATTTCAATATATAAAATATAAAGTGGTATTTTGCATTCTTTTTTTTCATACTAAGTCTTTCAAATCTGACACCTATATTTTTTTTTTTTGAGTGAGGGTGTCACTCTGTTGCCTATGCGGGAGTACAGTAGTACAATCATAGCTCACTGAAGTCTTGACATCCTACACTCAGGTGATCCTCCACGTATGTTGGTGTGCACTTGTAGTCCCTGATTAGCAGGGACTACAAGCGCACACCAACATACCTGGTTAATTTTTAACATTTTTGTGAAGACGAGGTCTTGCTATATTGCCCAGGCTGATCTCAAACTTCTAGGCTCAAGTGATCCTCCTGCCTCGGCCTCCCAGAGTCTTGGGATTACAGGCATGAACCACTACACCCAGCCTCTGGTTCCTATTTTACACACTCAATATGTATACGGCACATCTCGATTTGGACCAGTCACATTTCAAGTGCTCCCTAGTCACATAAGGGTAACGGCTACACTACTAGACAACACATCCCTAAAAGAGGATAATTTCAAGAATTAGCCTGTGGATGAGGAACACAGAACAAAATAGAAAATCAGAAAAGAAAAATAAAGAGAGGAGAAACTGGAAAAGATAATAGCGTTTCTAAGACAGGCAACATAATATTAACTCACCTCTCTGTCCAAGGTAATACTGGTTGTGTAAATCTCCCCTGTGTCTTTATTTAGGTAGAACACCGGGGGATAAGCAGGCTCCTGAGAGACGATTCTATAGGAAATTTTTGAGTTCATAGTATTGGGTTCATCTGCATCTACTGCACTGATTTTCATCACAAGCGTATCTGGCATTAGAAATCAAGGAATCCAGGATTAAACTCTAAGCACACTTACATGAGTTGTTATTCTATTTACAGTTCTTTTTTTAGCTTGTTCCATAAAAGATTTCAGGTGCTTATCAAAAGTCACATAATGTCGATCACAGTCAATCATTTAACTGGATGAGAATGAGATTGGTGTGGAGTAAGGTATGGTCACAAAGAAAAAAAAGAAAAAAGAAATTGGGGAGTATAGGAGTAGAAAAAACAAGATGAGGACAAGGCCAGGGTTAGGGTGGAGTTCTGAAATTGTTGAGGAGGCAGATTTTTTGTTGTTGCTGTTGAGCTGGAGGGTCACTCTGTTGCCCAGGCTGGAGTGCAGTGGTACGCCCATGGCCACTGCAGCCTTGACCTCCTGCTGGGCTCAGGCGATCCTTCCACCTCAGCGTTCCAAGTAGCTGGAACTACAGGCGCGTGCTACCATGCCCAGCTTATTTTTTGATTTATTGTAGAGACGAGGTCTCACCGAGTTGCCCAGGCTGGTCTCGAACCCCTGAGCTCAGGCAATCTTCTCACCTCGGCCTCCCAAAGTGCTGGGATTACAGTTGTTATTTTTTTTTTAATTGGGGTCTCACTCTGTCACCCAGGTTGGAGTGCAATGGCATGATGACAGCTCACTGCAGCCTCGACCCCCTGAGCTCAGGTGATTCTCCCACTTCAGCCTCTGGAATAACTGGGACTACAGGCGTGTAACACCCATGCCCAACTTATTTTTTTATTTTTGTAGAGACGGGGTCTCGCTATGCTGCCTAGGCTGGCTAAACTCCAGGCTGCAAGCAATCCTCCTGGCTTGGCCTTCCAAAGTGCTGCAATTACAGGTGTGAGTCATTGCGCTCTGCCCAGATTTGTTTATAATACTAATAGCCAATGCAAAGAAAGAAACATGAATAGATACATGATCCTGATATTTAGTAAGATACAAAAAAATCAGTAGCACAACTATTCTTTATATTATGATCAAAGAGAAATCTTTCTTTCAAGTCCCTCATATAGAGAACTGCACTGAACAACACTGTCAGTAAACCTAATAGTAGAAATAGTGTAAGACACAGGTCAGCAAACTATGGCCAAAGGGCCCAAATGGGCCAGGCCCCTGTTTTGGTAAATAAAATTTCACTGGAACACAACTAGATTCATTTGGTTATATATTGTCTATGGCTGGTTTCCTGCTACAGGGCAGAGTTAAGTAGTTACTACAGAGACCTTCCCTGTCACATCAACCTACCATGTATGTTCTAAGAGTAAAAAAAGATGGCATGTAAAGACCTTTGAATTATAAGAAAAGCAGTTTTGAACTTAAAGCAATAAGTTTATTATTATTATTTGTCCTGTGGATAATATTCAACTTCCGTTAAGATATGGTATTTAGAGTTTCTCTATACAATGGGGACAAAATGACCTTAGGTATTTACAAAAACAAAAAAAAAAGAACTCTTACGTGCTGCACTCAACTCTTCGACAGATCCAACAAAGATGTCCTGCGTGAACACTGGCTCATTATCATTGATATCAAGAACTTTAATGCGTAGCTCTAATGGTTTTTCTACACTGTTTCCTTTTTCATCCAAAGCATAACCTGTTAGCTGAAACCATGACATAAATAATAAATAAGATTTAAAGGTAAATTAATTACCACACTATCAAATGATGATAAAATAAATTATGCCAACTAACAAAAACCCCTACTTCAAATTAATACGTGTAAAGTTTTCTTACCAGAAAAAATGGTGTTTCTTCTCGATCAAGAATACTGGTAATGTTCAATTCTCCGGTGTCTTTATTAAAGACAAAGATACCAAATGGTGGCTCTGTAATCCCTTTTCCAGTGTATTTGTATGTAATTTTTAGTCCTCTTTCTTCTGCAATATCAGAATGTATCTAACATAAAAAAAGCACAGGATTGTTTCAAGTTGAACCTTCTATAATTTACTACATTTGACCTTAGTAAAAAGGCCAAGATGTGATTTTCTATAGTTTACAGGTAGATATGGGGTCTGACAACTAGGTTTGTGAATCATCCTAGAAAAAGTGCTACCTACCTCACTGCTGAATATCACTATGGTCACCTTTGAAGTACTCCCCTTGGGAAGCTATGCACTGACGCCAGTGCCTAGTCCACCCATCAAAGCAATTTTGAAACTCTTTTTCTGGAGTGGCCATCAGAGCTGTTGTCATTATTTGTTGAGGTCTGACAATTAAGTTGCGAACTTGCCACCATGTGGTTACATTGGCAGCACTGTACAAATAACTGTATGGGAACATGCTCAGATGATCTGGCCCCAGTGACTTTTTCTTTGCCCAAAGATAAAGGTAATATCGAAGACATTTGACGAAATTCAGGACATTAAGGGTAATACGACAACATATTTTTTTAGGTGGGGTCTCACTTTCTTGTCCAGGCTGGAGTATAGTGGCATGATCATGGCTCACCCCAGCCTCGACATCCTGCACTCAGGTGATACTTCCACATCAGCCTCCTGAGTAGCTGGGACTGTAAGTGTATGCTACCATGACTGGCTAATTTTTAAATTTTTTGTGGAAACATAGTTTTGCCATGTTGCCCAGGCTGGTCTTAAACTCCTTGGTTCAAGCAATCCTCCTAATTTGGCCTCCCAAAGTGCAAGTCACTGTGCTAGGCCCACAGTTAAATAGGTTTGACTATGCAAATGTATGCAAGTAAGATTATGTGAATATATACATCCATATGCATTTCATAAAGCCTGGAAGATACTAAACTGTTGACAGTATTGCCACTAGGTAGGGAATTTGGAAAGTTGGAGAAATTTAACAAGAAGTTTTGCTTTTTATGCAAATTTCACTTTTAACAATATATATATAACTAAAATTAGTAAAAAGAATGGCTAATCCTTGTTATAACCCTAAGGAATTAATGCATATTAGGGAAAATTATTGAAAGAATGTGTGAATGGCTCAGCTATCTCAAGACAGTAAGACAAAACAAAACAAAAAACTGGGTTAACATATATATATAATGTGTGTGTGTGTGTGTGTGTGCGTATGTGTGTGTGTGTGTGTGTGTGTATGTGTGTGTGTAATTATGTAACGCCATACTTTAAATATCTAGATTTCAGAAGGCTTTTGTGAAAGCAGCATGTTGTTGGAAAAGGAAATTTTTGCCTTACATTTCACAGTTGCATAGCACAATTGTTCTGAAAAGACTGGAAAGAGGAAGGGAACACTTAGCTGTGAACATGTGTTCAATCTCACAAATGTTTATTGAGCACCTACTGTATACCAGCATTGTTCAGGGCACAGGGTGTGAACTGTGAACCCTGAGGGCTAAGCCCACCCTCAGAGGATTTACACTCTACTAAGAGAGACAAAGAATAAGCATAATGTATCCCATAATGTTTGGTAGTGAAATATGCTATAAAGAAAAGGATAAGAGGAGAGAGAGAAATGAGATTGAAGATTGAGGCAGGGAGAAGGAGGTGACACTTGAGCAGAGAGGCTTGAAGATGTGACATATTGCAAATGTCCGTAGGGAGAGAACTCCAGGCAGAGGGAACAGCCATTGCAAAGACTGGGCGGCTGATGGCAGGACTCAGTGGCTCAGTCTGTAATCTCAGCACTTTGGGAGGCCGAGGGAAGTAGATTGTCTGAGTCCACGGGTTCGAGACCAGCCCGGGAAACTTGGCAAGACCTCGTCTCCACAATATAATAAAAAATAGCCAGGCATGTAGCACATGCCTGTAGTTCCGGCTACTTGGAAGGTTGAGGCAGAAGGATCACAGGAGCCCAGCAGGTTGAGGCTGCAGTGGCTGTAGGCGTTCGTGCCACTGCACTCCAGCCTGGGCAAAGGAGTGAGACTCCAACTCAAAAAAAAAAAAAGAACGGTTGGTTGGAATGAGCTTCTTGTCACGCTCGTGGATGTAGCAGAGTAGGGGACAGGGAGGGACAGGTGCTGAGGTCAGAGAGGAGGCCAAGACCAACTAATTCTATAGTTTCTTGCAGACCAGGGTAAATTTATCTCTTCCATTGTACTGGGAAGTTACAGAAAGGGTCTTCCTAAGGGGATGAACACGCTTTATTTGTCTTTTCACAAAATCACTCTGGCTACTTTCTGAAGAATGGACTCTCTGTGGGAGGAAGAAGGAGTTGGCAAGAGTGAGAGCAGGAAGACAAGGTGGGAGGGTCTTTTTGTAAGGTAGGTCAGAAGTGACAGTGATCTGGACTAGAGGAATGACAGTAGAGTTGAAGAGATGTGGGCAGATTGGGAATACATTTTTGGGGGTAGAACTGTCAGTATTTGCTATATTTTGGGCTTGAAAAATTAAATAGAATTATAGTACCATTTACTGAAATGGATAGAACTTATGGAGGGAGGCTTTGGGGGGAAAAAAATCAAGGGTTCAAGTCTGCATATACCAGTTTTGAGATACAGTAGGATTATTGTATAATTTCTCAAAAAATAGACCTTTTAGGAGCTATTAATGGGGAGCTATTAATTATTAAATCAGGACGACAGTTATAAATCAGGACTGTCCCAGGCAAAGGAGCACAGTCACCCTATCTATTAGACATCAGTTCTTTTCTTTTCTTTCTTTCTTTTTTTTTTTTTTTAGAAAGCAGGATTTATTAAGAAGACAGAAACACTCCCACAGTGGGAGGGGACCCAAGGGGACTGCCTGACATCAGTTCTTTTCATTTGAAAACTGTTTTTAAATAATATCCTCTTCTGGGCATTGGTAACACTGTGTTAAAGACTAAACTAGTGCCAGATCACTTAACTTCTGACTGAATCAAAACTCAGTTATACGTATGTTTGCCAGCGAGGCTACATCTTCCAGAACAGGAAAGAGGATCTTAGATCTGGCACCTTCTGCTAAAAAGTACAAATACATCTTGAATCCTAAAAAATTCAGTAAGTACATGATATTCTTTTCCTTACATTTTAAAGTGTACATGAAACTTTTCTCGCAGCATTATTTTAATTGCATGCATACATTTCATGCTCCTCTTGAGAAAGTACCTTGGCAATCGGATTCTTTTTGGACAGATCCTCTCCCTCCCGAAGAGCCACCGGGGCAGTGATCCAGGCCCGCTTTTGCCGCACTAAGTGAGGATGTTTAGGAAGCAGCTTGTTTTCATGTCTTGTGTTTAAGGCCTACAACGATAGAATATTGCCAAAAAATTAGCATGTATCATAAACATAAAATGTTAGCATGGTATTTTATAATTTACTAAACCTTATTTTTTTTTGAGTCAGGGTCTCACTCTCTTTCCCAGGCTAGAGTGCAGTGGCATGATCACGGCTCCCTGCAGCCTCAGCCTCCTCAGCAGCTAGGACTACAGGTACGTGCCACTATGCTTGGCTAATTTAAAAAAATTTTTTTTCTAAAGATGAAGTCTCACTATATTGTCTGGGCTGGTCTTGAAATCTTGGGCTCAAACGATCCTTTCGCCTCGGCCTCCTGAAGTGATGGGATTACAGGTGTGAGCCACTACACTTGGCCTAAACTTTAAAAATAGTGTAAGTTTTAAGGTATGCTTTGTATTTCTTATAAAGTTTCATTTTCTTACAGAAAATGTATGTATTCTAGCAAACTCTATAGGAGTTCAAGAGATTGTCTCTAAACTAGTAAAGTGGTAGGGATTTGTTTTCAACAGTAAGATTTCCCAGAGTGAAGAGCTCAAAAGGCTAAAGAGTAATTTAGTGGCCTTAAAATTGGGAGGCTGAGGTGAGTGGACTGCCTGAGCCCGTGCGTTCGAGACCCACCTGGGCAACTTGGTGAGACCTCATCTCTATAATAAAACAAAAAATTAGCCGGATGTGGTAGCGCGCGCCTGTAATTCCAGCTACTTGGAAGGCTGAGGTGGAAGGATCGCCAGAGCCCGGCAGGTCAAGGCTGC